CCATCAAAGAAAAAAACTGGGTGGTCGAGAATCCACGAAATCCACGAAGGCTTTTTTGCCTGGTCCTGATTGATGAAGTATTTTCCAGCAAGGAAGTTCTGAAAATGTTTGAAAAGGTGATAGTCGGTTGGTGAAAGGTCTGGAGGTGAGGTAGAACTTCAACCCCCAATTCGTTCAATTTATGGATAGTGATTTGTGAAACGTGTGGGCGGGCGTTGTCATGCAAAAGAATCGGACCCTTTCTGTTGACAAGTGCTGGCTGCAGCTGACGCAATTTTCGGTACATTTCGTGCTGTGATGGTTTGGCCTGGTGATAAAAAGTTATAGTGGATCACACCAGCCGATGACCACCACACTGTGACCATAATCTTTTTTTTTCGTGAGGATTCGGCTTTGGAAATTGCCTCGGTGGTTCGTCGGCATCCAACCACTGTCCGGAACGTCTCCTGTTATCATACATGATCCACTTTTCATCACAGGTGACAATTCGGTCCAAAAACGGGTCGTTTCTGTTGCGCAAAAGCAGTGAAGAAGAAACCTCGAGACGTGCCAATTTCTGCCGGTCACTCAAATTGTGGTTTCCCAATGCTTTCAGACCATCCGCAACAGTGGATTTGCCAACGCCTAGCTTTTCTGCAATCTCTCGAACTGTTTGGGATGGGTCAGCCTCCACAAATCCTTCAAATCCTCGTCAGGTATTGCTTTAGGTCGACCGCTACGAGGTTCATCTTCAAGGCTGAAATCTCCAGAACGAAATTTGTCGAACCATTGTCGCACGGTGCTTTCTCCAACACTATTGGGCCCCCACACCTGGTTAATTTGTCGAGCTGTCTCGACTGCGGATTGACCCAATTTGTAGTTGAAGAAAAATATCGTCCGAAGTTGCTCTTTTGACATGCTTCAAAAATTGGGAAAAGGGGGTTTATCAAGCAATGGTGAAACGGCAATTATACCATCAGATAGCGCAAAAAATTCTCTTCAGGATGTACTACTGAGACGCAAGGGAGAATGAGTTTTTAATCAGCAATGAATGTACAAAAATAGTAACACAAAACGCTGAGAACTTTCCGGACAACCTAATACGTTAACACCGATAATAGTGCAGAGGGTAACAAGTACCGCAATCAAAGGGTCCGTGAAATGCCTCCGTGCATTTGCATCGTTGTCCGCATTCGCACAGCATATACCACTTACTTAACTCGAAACGGTAAGATAAAGAGACGCGCGATTATTGCAACCATTGCAACTACGATTACTTCTACTCTGCAAGACTAAGCCTTTCGGGGCGGAATTGCGCCTGTACATAGCGTTGCCTGGAGTAGTAAGCTGATTTCCTGTGCTCTTGCTGGGAATCGGCTGCGCGGCGAATTCTGCTCATTGAGCTTTCCGACGTTCGACAAACTCGTCCAAGGTGCCCACTGCCAAGAGAACTCTGTTTAGAGCATTCCAAAAGTTTTTTTTCGCTTATTTCCCTACTGGGGAATTACTAGTGAGTTACTGGTTCATGATTGAGCACCTACTATAATACTTGATCGCGAAAGTTGTCGTCAAAGGAAGATAGCGCACAGCGAAGGAGAGGCAACTAGGAACCTCTGGGCCACGTTTACTACGGTGCAAACGTACACATTTGTGGAGAGCAACCACGTGGCTCGCGCGCGCAATGACTTATCTGCTCTTCTGCTTCTTCCTCGGCGAGATAGTACTCGAAACAGCCCATAGATGGTTCCCGGCATAGTTGAAGCGCGAAACTAGCAGCCAAATAAGAATAAAGCAAAAAAGATCCGCCGGGAATGTGTTTGAAACAGCGCACAGATGGTTCCTGTCATATTTAAAGCGGAAACAGATGGATTCTGAATAGGAAGGTGAATAGAGTTGGTGAGGTGAACTGTTTCGTGATTTCACCGTGAGGAAACTGATCAGGGTTCAATTTTTACGATTTTTTTTGATAGGTAGGTAGCATTGCAGTAAATTCTTTTCAGATTCTGCGGATTGGTTGATTGATTGTCACTTTTACACAAAGGATGGGTTCATCTAGGCCAGAATTCCTTCCTTGTAGGCTCAGGCAAAAATCTTGCGACCTACAATTGTTTCTTTGCACTTTCAGCGCTAACTGTTTTGCCTTCTATATATGAGCCTGGGGCGGTGTTATATTCATGTCCCAACCATGAAACTACCTCTACTTCGCCGAGGAGGGAGCAGAAGAGCATATGAGTCATCGCACGCCGCGAGCCGCGTGGTCCCCCCTTCCCCCCCCCTCTACCAAATACGTTAGCACCTTTACTACCCTTGAAATAAGGATTTAGAAGAAATTTAGAAGAAAAGCGCACTAGGGGAGCAATCGTAACTGCCCCTTAGAGTTAGCCCAGCGTTCCCGCTGTGTTTATACCATAACATAAAACAGCTTTGGACTAACGCCTATTGTCTCCCGGAGCTGTCGTGTAATGAGATGAAGGAGTCAACGGTATTTCTTCGTTGTTGCTGAAACTACCAATTTTGAATTGAGACGTCCTTTTTACATGTAACCTGAGTCATGCTGCATTTTTACACACGGGAGAGTGAGTTTGAGCTCTACAATTAGTGCTCATTTCCACCAATGCACGGCTGATACTGATGCTTGATGCTCGAAAACAGAGCGCGATGGCAGCAAGACATAGAATGACAGTCCAAAAGGGTCAAGCACGGCGCTGATGGAATTTTAACACTATTTACCCTTTCTGCCCCAACGATCCAGAACTGACCAGTCTTTGACCGGCTTTTCTCTCCGAGGACAGACTTGACTCAAATGCTGGGGGTAGTTTGACCACCTGAATACGAATATCACACTCGCTTAGCCCGAAACTCCCGGCGCCGCGCCACAGGCGCCGGTGATTTGAGGTATTTTGGCGCCAGCGCCTGTAGCGCGGGCGCCAGGAGGTTTTAGGCCGAGTGGATGTGGTAGTCGCGTTCAGACGATCAGACGACCCATGGGAACAAGTTTTCAGCGCAGTAAAAGGTGAATAGTGCCAAAATTTTCTACGCCAATGAGCCTTACTTCTTGTGCGTATCTCTATACAATGGACCTAGTGAAGCAGAATGTTGAGTTTTACAGAAAATAATGTAATTGTCTATTTTGGAGCTTACAGCTTCTGAAGTGGCAGAAACTGGCTCTTTTTACTTTACACCGCTCTTGAATTTCAAATGTCTTCGCATCATTAAAATAATGGATTGCTACACAATGTCAGATTTACCTTTTCGGTGGTGGACCGACCTGAAACGTGCTAAGTTCACTTCATAGACGTGGTCGAGAAGAAAGGCATGCCATACATCGAGATATGACTTACCATAATGTTGTCATCTCTCCGTAGACTGTTTTGCAAACCCGCTGCATGCCTAACATCGGTATTCTCCTTGTCCCTGGAGTAGAAAAACTAACTGGTCAATCCCTCATGGAGGACATGGGAAACTGAACTTTCTACAAGGCGTAGATAATTTGTCTGAGTACCTCTGGAAGATATCTTGAGGGAAGGTTTCCAATTCCTCAAGTTCGCTGCTTGTATACCTGCCGACTTGACTATTTGGTTTACTGCAAAACGTTTCTATTAATGTCCGGATTGGAAGACCGGAATTCGGTGTTGTTTGTTCTTCAGGAGTTACGCAAGGATAGTCGTTTTTGTTTAGCCCTTTTTACAAGAATGCTAGTTTCTTATCTTGGTAAAAGCCGTTCACGGCCGTTGTAGCACATGCTACACGTACTTGTCTCCTACCCGTAGCTGTCCTCTACCCTGTGTATCTCCTAAAACACGATCAAGTCCTTGGACTGACTAAGAGCACAGCGATTGAGTGTCTTCCCAAACGCAATCGTGTGTTATCATAGCCATTCCAACCCCATCTCCTCTACTCCCCACCCCTCGTCAACAGTCCACTTCCTCAGATTCAAGTGCGACGCGAGCAAATCGTGTAATGGTTCGGTGTGTACCAAATTGTTATCATAAAGACAGTCCCCGCGCTCAAACTAATAATAGGCGTCTTTCTTTGGGAACGTAGGTCCTCAGCATCCACGACTATCCCACTTTCGTGGCTTTACAGTAAGGAGCTCCGACCCTCATGAATGGCGATTCTGGCGCCTGTCAAGTTGTCCCGCCCACCGAAATTTAAAGGCTTTTCTGTCACGAGTTCATTTTTACACGGTTTTTCGTTTTTTTTCACTGTGAGGTGGCATGGCATGACGATAAAGAAAAACTAGTGGGCCACAGCCGCCACGACATCGCTTAGCTGGCACAAAACGGAGAACTCGCACAGTGGGGCTGCTAGTTCGTGATGGTTTTTACGTTTTTTATCCTCTAGGAGTCATTTGACCATCACGAACTGTAGGATTGTAACTGAACGCCACTATCCGCAATATCCGCAGGGTTAGTGATTTAGAAGCACCAGTCGGGTAGGCGGCTCACGCCAGCGCTCCTGTTTCCGTAGATAAAGGAGTGATCCTACACACTGCACTTTGAGCCTACTCTTTGTAGAATCTTAAGTTGCAAAAGCAGTGATGTACTCTT